CTGCCGCAAAATCTTTACACATTAAAAACAAAATACGATCTTCTGCAAACAAAATTAAAACTACTTGGAATATTATTAATTCTGAAATAGGAAGAACCACAGTTAAGAATAATGATTTTCATCTTAAAATTAATGATATAGATGTTAGGGCGGATTTGGAGGTGGCAACCGAGTTTGAATCTTTTTTCACTAATATTCCTGTATTAACAACTCAAACTTTGTTGTCGTCTTCCGGCTCCGCATACAACATACTTAAAGACTGTGTCGCAGAATGTGGGACAAGTTTTGAATTTACAGTTGTTAGTGCTAAGGACATTCTAGATGCATTTAAAGATTTGGAAGTAAAAAAGTCCACCGATCTTTGGGGGTTGTCAGTTCAAATAATATCCTCAATAATTGAATGTATTTCCCCATTTCTGGCAATTGTGTTCAACTCTTGTGTCGCATCTGGTGTGTTTCCGGACTTAATGAAGTTAAGCAAGGTGATTCCACTCTTCAAATCTGGTAGTACAACCGATCCTACGAATTTTCGCCCTATCTCAATTTTGCCTACACTGAGCAAAATTTTTGAGAAAAATAATTTTAAAGCAAATGCTAAAGCATTTTAACAGACAGAATCTTTTTCACTCCAAACAATTTGGATTTACTAAGGGTCGGTCTACTGCAGATGCAGGTGTGGAACTACTCAAAAATGTATTCGAGGCTTGGGAGAATTCACAGGATGCTTTAGGCATATTCTGTGACTTGTCCAAAGCTTTTGACTGTGTTTGCCATGACACACTTATCAAGAAACTACACCACTATGGCATTAGAAATAAGGCTCTTAGACTTCTCAGTTCATATTTAGACAATAGAATACAAAGTGTAGATATTAATGGCAAAAAATCAAAAGGATCTGTGGTAACTATGGGTGTTCCGCAGGGTTCAATTCTAGGTCCTTTCTTATTCCTTATCTATATCAATGATTTACCTTTTTGTGTAAGGGATGATCACAAAATCCTATTATTTGCGGATGACACTTCGCTTGTTTTTAAAGTTAAGCGTCAACTTGAAAATTTTGACCAAGTTAATTTGGCACTATCTAAGGTTGTCCATTGGTTTAATGTTAATAATCTGCTTTTGAACTCAAGTAAAACTAAATTAATAAAATTTTCTACGCCTAATGTGAGACAGTTAAGCACCAATGTACAACTGAATGGAGTAGAGTTGGAACCTGTTGAGTCAACTGTTTTTCTTGGCATTACTGTTGACGCTAAACTACAGTGGGGCCCACACATTAACAAATTGTCTGGAAGGCTCAGTTCAGCTGCTTATGCTGTAAGGAAAATTAGACAAATTACTGATGTGGATACAGCCAGAATTGTTTATTTCAGTTATTTTCATAGCTTGATGACGTACGGCATTCTCCTTTGGGGAAACTGTGCGGATATTAATACAATCTTCTTATTACAAAAAAGAGCTGTCCGCGCTATATATAACTTAGGTCCTAGAGTTTCTCTCCGAGAGAAATTCAAAGAGATAAACATTCTGACTGTAACTTCACAATATATTTTTGAAAATTTACTTTATGTTCACAAAAACGAACCGGATTTTGTCAAATTGTCTGATCTTCACTCCCGAAATACTAGGAACAAAAATAATTTAACAGTTCATGCTACTCGCCTTCATAGAATAAGCAACTCGTTCATGGGTCAATGTATACGCTTTTACAATAAACTTCCTATGGATGTTCGTAAACTTCCCCTTAAGAAATTTAAATTTTTTATTAAATCAAAATTATTAACTAAAGGATATTACAGGATATCCGATTATTTAAATGATAGAAACGCCTGGGATTGAGCTGCTCGCTTATACAGCTATCGCTTGTGTTTTTTTTAAGCTGTCTTTCACTTCTTTTTTTTTTTTTTTTTGCATGTTGTACATATTTACAATCTGACATGTCTTGTGCTTTTGCATATGCATTTTATTTTATTCTATTGACATGTTTGTGCTTAGTGCATATTCATTTTTTTTTTCTCTACATTACTGACATGTTTTGTGCTTAGTGCATATTCATTTTTTCTTTTTCTACAATACTGACATGTTTTGTGCTTTTGCATACAATATTTTACACTTTGACATGCCAAGTGAATAATGTTTATATTACGATTATATTTTTCAATTTAATTATTTTTCCTTGCTTTAAGGTACACCTTAAATATACATTTTGTATCCATTGTAAGTGTAAACATTATGCGGGTATATCATAAACTCTTTTGCTTGATTTATAATTTGATACATTTTAGTCTATAGTTATTTTGGGCTGGCGATCTGAGTGAGTTGTTGCCCCACATATCTTTATGGTGCCTCTGGCGGTATTGTTGTGTACCGGGTTGTGCAGCTCCCTCAAAAATGGTTGAGCTGCATGAGCTATTCGGGGCATGCTAGCCGTCTGCTGGCGCAGGCTTGCTCAGATCGATCTGGTTCTTTCTTCCAAAGACCAGTCCAGTAAATTACTCTGCATTTGTTTACACCAACTTATTAATTTATTATTGTATTATCTGGACTATAAAAGAGACTAAGACCCCGAGTTTGTTTCGACATTTCTTCTCAGGGCAGTCAGTTAGGAAATGTCGACTTCATCTAGTTTAGGAAGACATTGTAAAAGTGATTTATATAGTCCTACTTGCAAGAATAAACTATTTCATTTCATTTCATATTAAAGTACACATTTTGGGAATTTATTTCTTAAAAATAATACCGTCCAAATGTAGACCCTCGCGTTCGCGGCACTCATTTCATCGAACAATAAAATTACTTATGACGGCTTGGCAGGTGGACTCAGTGATGGCTGCCATATTGTGACGGATATTTTCTTTCAATTGCGCCAGAGAAGTCGGCTTATTGGCGTAGACTTTAGATTTAAGATAACAGAAAAAATCCATCGGTGTTAAATCACGACTGTGTGGAGGCCAATTTATGTCACCTCTCCTGGAGATCAATTTGCAAAAGAAAATTTCACGACCTCGTGGCAGAGACGTATTGGACGTGTGTGACGTTGCTCCGTCCTGCTGGAACCATGTTCTTTGGCTATAGCCAGGAAAGTTTTGAAGTTCAGGCACCAAGAAGTCATCTAACATTTTCACGTAACGCTAAATAAATAAATGTAAACTTTCTTTTGAGACACCTGTTATTTGCCCTAAGATATGTCAGTTCCTTGACGATAGTAAGAGACAAACGTTGAGGAAGACATTATTAGCGAAAGTTGTATTTATATATTATATACCTGTACAGATCCTAGATTAATATATCTATAAATTAACGACTGATTTAGACACATATACCTTTTTAACTTCCGATTTTATAAAGTAAATATTTACTGGTGTGATTTGTGTTATATAATATTTAAACTTGTTTATGTATGTATTCGATTGTGAATGTAATTATTTATTTAATGGCGTAACTCAGAATCGTACAAAATTATCTTTATAAATATGTATGCCAAGCTATTTACGTTGAAGCACTAAAGAATCTATGAAACTTGTACCGTCTTGTATCCGAGTAAGGAATAAGGATCGTAAAATATTTTTCATCTCCCCGGTCGGCGGCGAGGGATTTATTTGCGATATAACTTCAACAAATAATAGGATCGGGGCACGCAGCCAACATCTTGCCATCTTCTTGGGATTTGAAACAAAAACTTTACTGTTCAATTTATTTACGTAGACAGAGCATCTACATTCTTTAAAGATTCTCTTTTTTGAACCGTTATTATGAACATGATTTAAGTAATTATTACCTGGGAGCTATTATATTATACTAAATGTATACATACTTTAGGTACTACAAAATCTGATATATTTTATAACGCATAAATTTTAAAACGTTCTGATAATTTTATCAAAATTATACCAAAATTTAATCTCAATTTTATACCCACTATCAGTTTAACGATTTGATTCACCTAAAATTTTAAAATGTATTAATAAAGTATGCCAAGTTCTTATTTAAAATAGTATAGTCAAAGTGTTTGTTTCTTAGTGTTTTCTTATCAAACCAGATTGCGATATTAAATACGGATATAAACTCAGTATTTTATATAACTATTAAAAAGGATAAGAAATAGTGTGAAACGTGAGCAGTGTGGGTTAAAAGAATACGTAATGACAAGGATAACCGTGGATGGTGAAATCTGGTTGGGTAGGCCTTGTCATACATACTTGGATCAAATCCAGGAGGTACTAGAGAAGGGACAAATTAAAAGTACCCATAAGCGACGGACTTGCATGGTGAATGCCATGAAAGTGGATGAAGCGAGAGTTTTATCTGATCCGTGAGAGAAGATCTGTGGTATCTGCTAATAATATTATAAATTAAAAAAGTACAATTACCGCCAAATACAGTCAATATCTGTTATAACGACATCGAAGGGATTTCTCATATTTGGTCGTAAAAACAGATAGTCGTAACAGCTAATGACGTTGTACCTAATACAATAGAATTCAGCCGAGACCTTTGATTTTGGTCAATATAATCGGCATGTTGTTCTAAACGATGTCGTCGTAAACGGTTTGACTGTAAATTGGCCAGAGTTATTGGACGTGCTGAGGGTTTTAGGTTAGGAGTAAACGCTTTTAAATTTTTAGCTTGTTATTAATATTTTTTTTTGTATTACTTTATCTTAAGGTTCTATATATTTTTTTTATATAACATTTGTTTCTGCACTTCTCGCACGCATCATGTTTCTTTTTTTTTTTTTTTTTTTTTTTTTAGTTTTTCTCTTTAACTAGGGTTGCCTGGAAGAGGGAAGAGATCGCTTATTAGATAGCGATAAGACCGTCCGTTGCATCCCTTATAATTTTTATGTATTGTGTTTTTTTTTTATTTGCAACGAAGTGTAAATAAATAAATAAACGTACACACGTGAATATTGGTTCCCAATATGATCAAACTACGTGTCGTATCGACACGATTGTTATTCATGACTGTTTAAGTTTATAACATATGCTTTTCAATTTCAGATGCAAATTCATTCCACCAAACATCGAAATGGATAGACGATGTGCGCACAGAGCGTGGCTCTGATGTGATTATAATGCTGGTGGGGAACAAGACTGATCTGTCTGATAAAAGACAGGTCTCCACTGAAGAAGGGGACAGGAAGGCGAAGGAACTTAATGTTATGTTCATAGAGACCAGTGCTAAGGCTGGGTATAATGTTAAACAGGTAGGTTATTACAAATATCTATTATTTACAAGTTTACGCAGGTGTATAATCTGTGCGTAAATACAAATTGTTTAGACTCTGGAATTGTACCACCCCTGGACTGTTAGGTGTTCCAACGCCGGCAACTTGCAAACTTTAAATACATGAATAAATAATATTTTAAACACACAAATTAAAAATATGAATTTTTTCTTAAATCAAAATGACGTATTTGTTTCCGACACTGAGATTTTATCCCTTCATAATCTAGAGACAAACGTGCTACTAATTTGCTTGTTAATACAATTTTTTTTTTCGTGATGTCATAAAACAACGAGTTGCATGACGTATAGACCCAAGCTGTAATGCAAGTTCGGATCTGTACTTCGAGAGGAAACAATGTCTATGATGAGAGTACGTTGAGGAATACCTCAACATACAATACCTCATACTCTCATACCAAATATGCTACCGCGGCTAACAAATGGACTAAGTCAGTTATTAGATAGCTTAACGTTAAGCAACATAAAAACATGTTGAAGAATTATTTATATATGCATTTGTCGCGGGTCGACGCTATTGTTACATTAATACAAACTACAGTGGTTTTCAAATGTAATATACCTTGATTAAGATTGTATTATTCTCTAAAATAGAAATACATATTAAAGTATACCTTCGAAAAGAAGTTGTGCTCAATTAATGTCACTCAATGTGCACCATCATCTGATAACCTTCGTAGCTAAGCGGCTTGGTAAAGGATTGCAATCCCGGTCATATGGCAATTGTACCTTCAAAGAAACAAACTGGGGTAATTATGTACGTGGAAAGAAGGCAATTGTGCGCTGCAGTTCCCTTATCGGGCTTGTGCCCTTAGCATGCTACCCTTAGGTATCTATGAAGGCCCTTAGAGATAGACGTCTTATTATTTGCTTAAATTTCCAGTTGTTCCGACGGGTTGCGGCTGCCCTTCCCGGCATGGACTCTGCTGAGAGCAAGCCACCTGAAGACAGTATCCTTTTGCTAATATTTACGATTAATTATTTTATTTTTAAAGGGTTTTATGGTTCATACAAAATATTCCACTGTTTACAGATTATTTTAACATTGACACAAAAATATTTGGTTTACAAAATTTTTAATTCACATACATAATCAAGGCACATTTTGTGTTACGCGCACGTTACGCTAGAGTACGCTGTAATCGAAATAACGGCTAATGATCCAGTGTTAATTGTGTGAGATTAGCTACGTCTTATGCATCGATATTATTTGCATCGATTTGTTTGACTTCGGCGTTAATTTTATAACTATTTTACACAAGGCTTATTTAAAAGGCCGGCAACGTACTCGCGAGTCAATGGGGAGCCCGCTTCTTGTTTGTACGCTCTCCTAAAAAAAATAAATTAATCTGTATCTACCCTCACCCTAAACTCGTGTTTAGTTTCGGGTTTAGTTTTTTTATGACCTAAACGTTATTTTAACTGTCACCGTTTCCTTTATGAAAAAACTAAGAGCAGTCACTAACTAGCGATAATTAAAATATGTTTTATCCGTACTTCAAATGGCGCTATATAAAAACCGTTACAACCTTCTAAGCTTTCTGATCATCATAGACAAGAGTGAAACACATCGCTTTATCTATGGACCTGTTTCTAAATCTGTTATCTATAATTGCTATGTCATATTTTTCTAAAGAGCGCTGACAGCCGTTGATATTGAAACTAAGACGTATTTCCTCCCTTAAACCATACAAACGAAAAGAGCTCAAAGAAAATTCCACTTTTATGCCTAGCGATACTAAGGCACAATGGTTACGAATCGCATATCAACAGTTCAAACGTTTTACTATAAAATATATTCGGGTAGCTAATTTCACACTCGTCGGTAGTGATTCCCGGATGTGATGGTGGTGGTTTAACAATGGTGTAAGTAACATTAACATACTAATTTGAAGCCATTATTTCTATGTTTCCGTAGTTTTGAATAGCTTTATAATTAACTTGTATGCTTTATTTGCATGTATTTTATTTTCATCGCCATGACCGAAGCAAGATTGTTGTGGATTGTAAAAGCGCCTTTATGGCGTTGTGTTAAGGGCTTATTTTGTTTATAGCTCCTTTGTATAAATATATGAATGAAACTCAGATGTGTTGCTGAAATATCTATATTAAGAAACAACATTTAGAGTTGGTTATTTTACTTGAAAACAATCACTTTTATCACATTTCTTTTATCATCCAAAATGTTCTAACAAAAAAATCTTTGAATTAAAACTAGCGTATTTTCCACAGACTAACAAACAATTAAATGAAACGTCAGTTAACACATAACAGATAATAAATAATCTAAGAAATATAATTATTTCTTTACAAATCTATAAAACGGCACAATATGAGAAAAAGAGTATTGCTACAAGTCAGTTCAAATGAAAAAAAAAACGTTAAAATATGTTTTGGCATCGTAAATGAAAATATTTAAAAAATATCAGACCCGGAGCATAATATTAGATTTAATACTACTATGCTTCATATATATAGCTATATGCTTTTAATATGTATTTTATAAGCAAGAATTAAAAATGGCGTAAGGTGTGAGCAAAAAAATATAGCAGCAGCCTTGCTTTTACGGTCATGGTAAACCCCTTTTCATTTCATATGTTCTCTCTTTTATCTTCTGTCTCGTTAAGAATTTTGGGATGTTTGAGTATAAAATTGTATGTCGAAGACAGTCGAGCCGTGATATCTCTCTCTTCATAAATATACGATATATTCGAAATGACGATCGTTTTTTGCGTTGAAAATAGATTTGACAAAAGATTAATTTCTAATTTCGACTACTAGCTTTTCGTCTTAGTAGATCTTAGTTAATAGTCCAGGATCCATCGCCCATTTTTGCACTTGATTACTATCAAGCTAATTTTCCGTGAGTAGCTTTATTTTGATGAGACGCCCAATAATATATAATTCTTGTCGGACTAGTGATACATACCTGTTTTCTTGTAGGACGTTGTTTCATTTGGGCAGAGAACACACTAACCTATTATATGATATTTTTGTCCTACAGTTAGTAATGAGAAAAATGGTCTTGTGGTATTAACAATTTCTGAGCGTAGGACCAGGATAACGTACCGCGCAATTTGTAGGACAATATGTCTGTTAAATTACATAAATATTAACTAAGTAAAAAAAAATCAGCTGGTTAGTAATCATTTATGATGACCTCGTTATCGATACATGTCGGAAAGAGGGGACTCTTTGATCAAACCATAGATTTTGTAGGACAAATATTTTTTCGAATAATTTAGATAATTGTCTTGAGATTTAACAAAAAAAAATCAGTTAGTAATAAATATTTGAGAATCATCAAATCAACATATTTTATCCTTGCTACTTCTGTTAGCTACCACAATCGAGAGTTTCGTACATGAAATTATTGGGCGTCTCATCAAAATAAAGCTACTCACGGAAAATTAGCTTGATAGTAATCAAGTGCAAAAAGTGGCGATGGATCCTGGACTATAAGCTCGATAAAAATATAGATAAATCATTAATAACTAAAGAACTCAATTTTTACTAAATTGGTGTACCTTTGAAAGTAAACTGAAGTTTTTAAAAGTTAGACGGTAGACATTTGATTTTAATTGAATTTCAAATCGTCATCCTATGATTACTGTTGTTTCATTATCGTTTAACCAATAGATTTTTGTAATAATACTTTTTCGACTACCCACTTTTGGCTTGAGCTACTGTCACAAGCTAAAGCTTACAATGATTAAAAAGCTTTATTAAATGTTAATTTCAATAAAATTGCTTTATGTTGCTTCTATTAACATTTCAGTATATCAAGACTTATTAAAATAAAATGAAAAATTTCCCAAAATATCTATTACGAGACGAGACTGTAGTGTTTTCTTTTTATTTTTCCTTAATATCGACAACAGTGCACGAGGTGATATTGAGACAAGCTCCAGGAGACTCCAAGGAACAGGATCAAGGATGCGCGTGCTAGTCTTACAAGAATTTGTTTATACTATATACCATATCCATAGTTTTATAACCTTATTTTTAATGTTTGATGTCATTTTTTTTCAAAATTCATAACAATTATCGGACATAATGTAAAATTGGATGTGGTATTTCGTAATAATTTCGAGCAATCTTAAACGTATATCGCCCTAATTACACGGCAGCTGAATAATATTTGCAGTAATCCAATTGAAAAATAATATGTGTAATATCAATAACATTTAGAAACTTTAGAGGAATTCAGCTCCATACCCTGCTGTTGGTTGGCTGGTGAAACCTACGCATAACTTTATTATAGTGCTTCAAAACACATATTTCAGTGTCTTTATATTTGGTCAAAACAGTTCTAAATACTATTTTAAGCATTAGTGCGATAGCGTCTGTGGCCTAATTGATATTAAATTTTATTATTGCGTTGACTTTTACCTGGGGAAATGTTAACCGCCCAGCGGCGCGACTTCGTGCTGTAAAAGTCTTTTTATAAGGTTTTTTGGCAGCAATTGATCACAAGTTAAGATAAAGGATAGTTCTTATACTTACTCATTTTTGGAATACCATTTACAGCTGGAATCATATCTGATTTGTTAGACAGTGAAATTTTTAACAATTCCTGACCTAAACAAATAAGTAATCATACAAACTAGCGACACAAATATCAATTGTTAGTATTAAACGATTAGTTTATTACACAAAGGCATTACGATTGCTTCAAAACGAAAGGTCTTAAAGACTGAATTTTCTGAGGTAAGCTGTATCATTTTAAACAAAATTGAGGTAAAACTTTACCCGATATTAATTACACATTACCTTTTGGAAAGGTCATACATGGGATAAAGTTCTTAATGTAATTTACTATAAATACGCGATAGTTCTGGTTTCTAAAAATCACTATGGACATTTGCCTCTGGGTTGTTAATTATTGTTAATCAGAAACTATTAAATACAAGATTTGGGTGCAATTTATCTAGAAGTATATATAGGGACTCATTCTGGTACAATTTGCTAGACTAAACTATCAAATTTGCATAAAATAATTATATTAGGGTTAATGATCTGAACTTTCCATGTTTTTGACATATGTCAAAGGGTTTCGAGATCTTGTACCAGACTTAGCACAGTTGTATGGAATGACTTGACAGTTAAGTGAGTGTATTACTATTTGGCATGTATTTAAATGACAAAGTTCTTTGCCTGTACCTAACTTATCGAAATATTGGCGTGAAGCTGAAGTGTTTTTAAAACAAATATGAATTTGATTAATTCTTTATTTTTAGAGTAAGCTAAGCAAGAATTTGTATATAGCACGCTTTCGGGATCTCTATGCGATAATGCTCAAATATTATTAAAGCCATATAACAATCTGAATTTGTGATCGTTATTTTTATTAGTTTATAGTTGAGTAACGTATACGTGCGTGTACGTTAAACATTTACAAATAGTTTATCGTCATCAGTGAAATGGTTATAGGATGACAAATGGGACTCTTATCCACTCATACTAAACGCGTAGTTAAAGGTTATTAAAAAAACAATTTTTTTTTAAATAATATCAAGTGCTTTCTATCTGGAGATCTCGAAGCTTATGTACATTAGTATTATTTATTTTAGCTTTTAAGTAAAATCTTATGACTTTATATCACCGCACACATAGACAAAAACACCTTGCGCTTAAATTACACGATGATGTAACTTACAAATCGTTAAATTATTGTGTGTACGGTGGGCCTTAGTGAGAGTTTCACTGCTAGCTTTTAACAAGTTTGTACGACATTTTATAATATAAATTACATGTCATTCCAATTAAGCTTTTAATAAACATTTATATAAAAATGCAGCTAATATGAAAATCGAGATTTTATTTATAAGTAGATTTGCCCCTTTTAAAACAATTCTGTTAATAAAAAAAATTTTCGTTTATTTTATTTTATATATAAAATTGTGCTGATGACTGTATGTATATATCACGCTAATATTGAAATTAAAAACTTTAAACACCGTACTTTTCTTATTACAGTTGTGCCCTAAATATTTTATCAGGATCGATGTATGTGCATATTTGTGTGTATGTAAATATATTAAGTATGTATCGATAGCTAAACAACAAACATTGAAAACATTATTTTTAATGTAAATAGGATTAGGAGGCGAGAAATCAAAATCAAAAATAAGCCCTCAGAAACACAAAATTTGGCTTCATACAATTATTATGTCGTGGAATAAGACTTTCCTTGCCGCAATGGACGGCTGATGATCTCTAATATCTATGACTTCTCTAGTGCCATTACCAGCCTAGGAAGCCAGTAGCTGATTATGTAAATTTGTGAACAGGCAAATAAATGCTAATGTTCTCAAATATATCTGTCGGGCAATTAGCATACTGTTATTGTATGTGAATGTAAGATATTAAATCTGAAAGTGCGAAAGGAGGACGTAATCTTACTCAAATTGTTTTAATCTGATGATGTCTAATTATATACAGGGTGGTCAAAAAGTCGTGGATCAAACGCAAATAGGGGATAGATGAGGTCATCAGCTGCAAAAAATTGTATATCGTATAACTTAATTTTATCTTCAATACACTCAAAGAACAACTGTAAATAGTATGTCTAACGCAAGAGCTCATCAGTACCAATCTAGTGGATATTATGAAAAAGATACAGGTTGTGTGTTTTTTCGAATTTTAATAAGAATTAGTAAAAAAAGTCAATTTTCTTATAAAAACGCAAAATAAATTATAACTCTGCAGGGGCTGAGACCTCCCGTAGAATTTTTTTTTGCAGCTGATGACCTCATCTATTCCCGATTTGCGTTTGATCCACGACGTTTTAACCACCCTGTATATTAAGTATTTTATTTAAATCAGATGTAGACGCTGAAAGTTGTCAGGTAAGGCCTACAGATTGGTATTTATTATTCAAGTGAATATTACTTTGAATGATATCATCCAATCTGAGCATGTAACTTGGCAATATTTAGTAAGTTACGTTAAAAGAGCAACTTCTTGAGTTCTTTGCCTTGCCATTAATAAATTGTTATTTTAATTTCTTATTCATATACGCAAAATATGATCATTATGAAACACCCTCTACACTATACATCCTTGATTTCCTTAACTCCAAGCTTCAGCTGTGGACCTGCAGACCCAGTCCCCAATGGGCTCCGAGCAAGAGGGCAACGAGAGTGGGTGCGTTTGTTGAACGGCTTAGAGCCTCAGTGCCTACTTTATATCTTTTTATGTGCCCCGCTTAGATGTGATCCAATTTGTGTCGAGCGCACAATTTTACGTTTATTACGAATAGTCTAAGCAAAAGTTTACGTTTTCCACATTAGAACAGCATCTTTAGCAAAAGCTTCTCCATGGCTTAGCACATACACTGACATCCATACAATGTCAGTATCTAACAACTTGAACGATGTTTCGCGTGCTAAATACGCTCTGGTGACGCATTTTATTAAAAAAAATTGAATTTACATTTACTACTTGATTTTGTTCAGATTTATCAGTGTTAACGAACCGTATGTGATAAAATACGAGACGTAAATGGTTTTGAAAGTATCAAATCATTTTATTTAAATTTAAAAGAATACATATATTCTGATGTGGAATACGTAAGCACCTTGCTAAATAGAGCTTTTCTTGTGTGAAAAGAATGACATCTTTTACTTAATGCTTCCGAATTCATTGAAAAGCTCTATTTAGGTTAAATAATTTATGTGCCTAAATTTGTCAATGCGTTACGTTCGTATGGCGCTAAGTTACGGTGCACTAGGCAATTTAAACTCTGTTCTTCGTTCGTCACTTAAGGTATTTTAGGGTTTCTTTTCTTTACCAATTGACTGTAATCAAATGATTACGAACATCGTAATAATTGTGAAAATTTCAAGCTTATGATGTTATAACGTCGGGCGGACTAAAGCTCTGTTGTGATAGAATGAATTTATGGATTGGATTGTTGACTGATATTGCATAGAATTTCTTTGAAATAAACTGGCTTTTGACGGCTCTATAAAGTTATTTATAATATTGAAACAGGAAAATGTCAAAATCTGTGTCAACTATTTGTATGACAAGTTCATTGAATTTTGTGGAAATCAGAAATAAAAATTAACAGGAATGGTTTTAATGCAAACAACACTTGATAGATTTTTCTTTTTCATCAATTAAACAATTGATATCTACTGTTTCTGTCAGTCTTCATAGCTTAGTATTGTTAAAAAAAATGGCGGATCACAAAGAAAACAAACAAAACATTTATTCTTAGTTTAGCTATTGGAGAGTGAGACGTGTTCAGCTATTCAGACAATGAGAATCAGTTTGGAGGAAAAGGTTCTATGCCTGTCTTACTCTTAATGGATTTATCGGTCTTTAAACAACGTATTTAACTTAGCGTCTATTGCAAACGAGGTCTGTTTTCCGACGTAATATGACTGTACTGCGATGTTCTTATAATAATTGGTCCGCCTGGCCATCGCAAACTGTGCATAGTTGATTTGCTTCAACGATCTCTCTTATATTATCTAGATTAATAGGCATTTTCTTCTATTAGATTTATATTTAAGCACAACTAGTGGATTTATTTATTTAGGAAACTGTTAAGTAGCGATTTTCGACTTCAATTTAGCTCCCACTGCCGTAAATAAATTTGGAATTCATGTTATTCGACCTAAACGCAGACTACGCCTAATGTCTAGGTAAAAAACATTAACATTTCGTTACCATGATAACAATATTTGAATCTTACATGTTTTAGATTTAGGGTCTGTTTCACAATTTATGGATAAAGTGCCAAATAGCTATGCAACACATAAATTATTTGGAAGATAAATTGTGCTATTTGACATTCATCGGACTCATAGCTTATGATGGACTTTATGTGACGAATAGCACTATCTGCCAGTCGTGAAACGCAACAATAGTGTTTATCCTACCAATAAGTAATAAAAAGCTAATTTGGAACTTATGTAGAACTTATCCGTACATTGTGAAACAGACCCTTAGTAAGAATAATGACTCCCGCATGCCAAGATGCAATACGGAATCACATATTCAACGATATGCAAAGCAGATACTAGAAGTGAGTGAGGCTGTTCATAGCAGAACTGACCGATCCGAACAATCTCTCATTCCCCGCTCTCGCAGCTTAAGTTCCTCGACCAGAGAACGATCTATTTGTGAAGCGTATGAGGGTAATACTGTGTAATTAAATACGTATTTAGAAAAGATTGTTGCCATGGTTACGATGTATTTGTTCTATATATTAAAAAAAAATGTACGCTGTAAGTTTTTTATACTTATTTTACGTAAAAATAATTTTGATGGTAAATGGACTGGAAATTGATACAACAATTTGTTTAAATGGCTTATTAAATTAAAAATTCGTATTAATTTATTTCCACTTCATGAATTGTGATTGGTACGAAGATTTATTTAATGGACTGGCTGAAGTGTCTGCGTTGATGGTTTTAGTATAATAGTATCGATACGTTTTATAGTATTTTGTATGCAATTGTTAGTATAACGTTTTGTACGAAACGTGCTTAGCTTTCATCAATAGATATTGTTTTTTTCGTAATTATTCAATACTAGCATAATGTTCTGGGTAATAAATGCATTTTAAATATTTGTGGTTTCATTTTCAATTATGATCTCTATGGGCTTAGTGGCTAAGCGCACGATTTTTTTATAGCATACGCATATTAGCCTACGGGACGCCCAAAATGCTCCTTTGAGAGAGGAGTATACTCTTTAGCAGTTGGAGGTCGTATCTCCTATTGAAGACCTTACCGGGAGTCGATTCCACAGTTCGCTAGTTCGTAAAAAACACTCTCGTCAGCGGACCGTGGAAGACTCCGTCAAGATGATTCGGATCAAATTCTGAGTTAATACGGCTGTGAAAGGCCGTACGGTGGTGAAACGAGGCTGGAGGGATCAACCCATACAACTCTTTAGAAAACTCTCCATAGTACTATTTGTAGAATACGCTTAGAAACGCAGTCTCTGCATAGAAGGAGCGAATTAAAAGCCTTTTAAAATCTGGTTGTGAGTAGGAATCACGGTTGTACCCTGACGACGCTGTGAATTAGGTGTTCGTTCGAACCCATCGAATCCTTAGTAAAATCACATTTATTATATTTAATTGAAGTATGGGGCAGCGCCTCAACTAGTAAACTTAAACAACTTCAGGTTCTACAAAATAAATAAATTAAAATCCTGTTTATTTATCCTACTTTTACACTAAAAACCATACATGGACACAAAATTAATGAAAATTAAGCAGCTTCAACATATTGAATGACTTAATTATTGACACTGATTTGTTCGCTGAGAATGTGAGGACAGCAAGGATAGCTTTGACACAAAATTATTTCAACCATGAATAAAGTGCATCGATAACCTTTCATTGTCAACTACTCAATTAAATTATGTTTTTTCTTTTATGTTTTAAACTAAAAATATTTGGCATGTTTACCTTCTTGTTTTATGAAAAAAAAACTATATGTGAAGATTTGTAATTGGCCTACAATGTTATATATATATAAATATATTTATGTATTGTTCTGTGAATCTTCTGAATAAATAAATAAATACGGTCGCAAAAATATAAACTATTTCGGAGCGAGTCTACAACAGCTTCCTGAGAAACAAATAGTAGCCCGTTTCGAATACGTCTGCGAAGTGTTTTCGTAGATGGACTTTGACGCAGTAATGGCGTACGACGGTGGTGCGATATATACTTTTAAATGTTTTTAATATTATTATTTTTTTCATGTAAGTCAGATATGTTTTAAATGAGAATAAATTTCTTTAAACCTAATCATGGTATGACTCTCCTGACCGAGTTGCTTTATCACAGTTTTTTAATATTTTAAGATAATGTATAAAAACGACCTGAATCACTAATTTTTCTTCAACATAACGTAACACAAACTAGTAAATATGGTCTTATACGCTACTATATATATATACTACTATAACTCGAGTCCGAATTCTAGATCCGCCCTTGACTCGAATGGAGTTCAATTGATTCAGAACTCGAACCTGTTACCAAGAAATTAACTAGATATGTTAAAACATTAACAATAAAAAAACAATTAAAACTGGAAGTAATATATTTACAGTTAAATATCGCCAAAAGTTACAACAGTTTGATTTAATATTAAAATGTAGATTACAAAATCTACGAATTAATAAAACCTTAATCTTAAACAAATTTTTGGAAGCCTTAAATTAATTTATGACAGTCTTATTGCGTAGGTACAGTTTTATTAAAACTTAATTCACATGTATCAAATTAAACTGATTTAAATAAATCAGAATAATTATGACAGCGATATCTACAATCTGCCGCTAAAACCAGTGCGAGACGTCATATACTGCTACGCGCTATGATGGCGTTTCCGACCGCTGAGCATATGTCAACAGACACTCCTTAATCATAAAATTAGAATATACAACAAAAGACGCAACCATGATGCGTTTCGCTTTATTGGTCGAAAGGAAAGATGGGTATTGATGCAAACTTAGCGCTTTCACCGCCAGATATAGCGGAGTTTTTGATTAATTAGCGCTGAAAGAGATAGATAAACTTCTAGACCGCAATCAAGCGCTTTTTTGGATATCCAGCGCACTTTCGTAACTTCGGTCGAGTCGCCTCTCTGGTTAAGACACAGCTCAGTAACAATCAAGCTAAACGCGTTATCGTTCCGTCTTTTACATTCTAACCCGCTGATACTGGCTGTTGAACCTAAAAAGGAATGACAAACATTCTTTCACACACACAAATATATAGAAAATGGTGTTAGTGCATCCAATAAGTTGTATGTTATTATATCAAGTGGGTATAGGATACTTGTCGAAACAAAATTCTCAATGGAATTTTAAATAGCCAATTAAACCAACTTTCTCTCTTCTAAGCCTAATAATCTTCTTGGAATTCTTCGAATTGGAAAACCCTAGATACAACGGGCACATGAAGTAAGATTAATAACATGAATATTTAAAATGATTAAATATTCAATGATATTATATTTTAAATGCTTGTATTGTGTCAGTAAAGTACCCAAAACAATTATTATTTCGACAGAATTCAAACCACGGACCTCCGTATTAGTCTAAAGAGGTTGTGCAGTTTAACTTACATAACAATCAACACTAATTTAATGACTTTAATAACTTTGGTAATCTTCGCATTAAGAACATTAAAAATTATTTACATTAAATTACCAAAACGTTAGCCTAATATGTTGATTTTATAGTTTCTCATATAGTTATTAATAGGACCCATATTTCTGAACAATTTAAGTACTTAGATAATTAAATATCTGCTTTGAATATTTCCCGTTTATTCACGAAACTAAATCAGTAATCGTTTAAAGTACTCATTTGTATCTTTCTGTGCTTTATTACAATAGTTTAGTTTCGTGACTAAAAACTTACGTATGTTTACAAGTTTGTATAATCTAATTCGTTGTACTAAATATAAAGACATACATTTTTTTAAATGTAAAACATGGTAACTTTATGTTGGAAATACTTAAAAGTCTTTGAATTACACATTTATGTTAGGTTAGGCTAAAATTCAAACTTTCAGCTGTCTCTTTTCATCACAGCTAATACTTTAGCCGATAACATTGATTTGGTTTTTATAAATAAAGAAATATAATTTTGCGTTTACCTGAAAAGACTCAAATGAAATTAACCTCAAATTATTAACGTTTATGGTTTATGGCACCTTATTTAAAAAATACGTTTCTATTATTAAAATATTAAATCTATATCAATATTAACTTTTTACTGAACAAAGGGCATATTACACAGTTTATAAAATTAGCTTACCATACATATATAACAGAGCCTGTGTTGACTTCCGTATTATCCAATACTTATGGGATTTGACGTATGGGAGTCGCACTTGGAGCTGTCACATTTATGAATATACCCTTGTGATTCAAAAGACCAAAACGTTCACAGACCGCTTCAATAAAGACGGTTTTAATTAATCAGTTGTTTGTTAAACCACAATTTAATTCACGTACAAGAAATGCACTTACAAGCTAATATTTACATATGAAAATACTGATATTTTTTTGAGTAAATATAAGACTATTATATCCAGTTATTTAATTTTGGATAGCGATAGTAAGACATGTCGGCAATTGTTTATTGCACCTACACTTAAGAATAAGTCCGAAATTATTGTTATTTAAACTTTATACAAACACAAGGGAAGTTCACAGCTCTAGCCTCAACTGTCATTTGTTTTATTCATAATAACGTCACCCAAAGTCGCACTATGCATCTCACCATCATGTAGCATGAACGTCAGAGCACATATCGTACACTAAACGTCAAACAGCAGCGCAATATTGTGCTGCGAAGCGCGCCGCTAGTAATGGTCCGGATGAAGAGGCGCCCTGAAAGTACGTGCGTGGGGCAAGGCAGGCTGTTGGGGGCCGTAGCTGCCGTACGCACTGTCTTCGGAAGAGAGAGGACCCCGCCGTGTACCCGCACTGTATACGGACTCCCGACGTTCCTGTACAGCTGCACCTAAATACGAAATCTCATATGAGTGACAGTGGTTTTAAGTCCCTCCCATGTAGACAATTCTACGCCTATTATGAGTAATGAGGTATATATATGGGATTGATTTGCTCCAGTTCAAACAATTTGTATGACTCAAAACAGCGATTACAAAGAGTAGCGGAAAGTTCATTGCCGGATCTTCTTGCCTGCTCTACGCCCTTGACTTGCGAACTGGTAGTAAATGTAAATTTAGAATTAATTTAACTTCTTTTCTGACGTATCATAAATGCACTTTTTTGTATCATAAATGCAAAAGTAGAAATAACTATATTCATGCACGAGTGTATGAATATAGTTATTTCTACTTTTGCCTATCAGTGTTAGCCTAGTGGCTTCAGCGTACGACTCCCATCCCTGAGGTCGTAGGTTTGATCCCCGGCTGTGCACCAATGGACTTTCTTTCTAAGTGCGCATTTAACACGCGCTTGTACGGTTAAGGAAAGATCGTGAGGAAATCGGCTTGCCTTAGTCCCCAACGGCGTGTGCCAGGCACAGGAGACTGATCATCTACCCGCCTATTAGATTGACTAATGATCGTGAAACAGTTGCAGAAACCTGAGGCCCAGATCTAAAAAGGTTGTAGCGCCACTGATTATTTATTATTTGTATAGCAACCTGAAACAAGTATCACCCGGAATAAATATTTGTTATACGGTATAACAGAACTAACAAAACAAGCGAAAAGAAAACATTTCGTTGTCGTAGTAAATTCAACATAAAAAAGACAATCTATCAATCATCCATCAATAATTCCTCTTAAGGAAGATGATCGTACCTGCTGGTCCTGGTCGTACATTAACGTTGGTGCCATAAGGCGGGTCACGCTGGGCGTTGTGTACATTCTGGTTCATTGTGACAGTATGAGTTGGAGGCCGTAAAAGCAAAGATTGAGCCGCAACCAGTGATCCAGCTGCTGCAGCACTGGTTTTACTGTATACAGACTGAGACCTGGAAATTGTAAAATAGGATATTAGTTAACGAATTGGAAGAAAACAGAAAAAGCATGGACAAAACTATCAAGCCGATAGAAGTATCTATATTTACAGCTATATTTCGTGATTTGTATCAGATATTAGAGATAAAAATCGCATAATTAAGCTTCAAACTAATAACTTGTATATAAATAATAAGTAATAAATAAAAAGGTGTGGTAATTCTAATCTATATATTTATGCAAAAATATGTCAAGTTCGCCGTTTATACGTAAAACTATAGTGAAATATACATAGTAATGTCATGAAAATTATTCTATACCAATAAAACATGCCTACAAAAGCACACATAACATGCAAGATCAAAATAAAAAGCTTAGTCGCCGAAATATCCAACTTCATATAACGAAATTTCTAAATCCTAAAATTTTTACTTGTATCGTATCCACGCTCCTTCCGATATAAATATTTTTATATAATATAACACTAAGAACAACATTTAATTTATTTTACTAAAACTTTACACCATGTGTACATGTACTAAGTATTTGCCCTCATTAACTTTATGAATCCCTCCCCCTTAAGCGTCAAGACAATTGTTCTATGCGCCTCTGTAACACGAATTATCTGCGTAATCCGTAATGTTTCGAGTTTCTTCGAGTGAAGAATTCTACTTCATTTAACAGTAGTAACTATTCCTTTTTTCTTTAAAATATTAAGTTGTAGTATGTTTGTTAGTTTATCTGCTAATGTAGATACTTAATTGACTTATGTATTCTATTTCGCATATTTTGTTGAACATAGTAATCGGTTTTGGCTTTGTATATTAGACAATATAACACTTAGACAAGTGTTTTCTTTTTTATAGTATGTAAATGTATATTTGTAGCCGTAAGTAAATATATATATATATATATATATATATAGAAAATGAGATCTATTCACTACCCTATTTAATTAGTCAATTTATAAATGTTTATACTGCTACCTAAATTACTTACGATTTACATTTCAAATATTGAAGGGACTGGCTACAAAAGTTATCTCCTTCCTACACTACCTATTTCAACGTTCAAGCAAAAAACATACGTGACCGCCACCAGACGACATCAATAGTTACATTTTACATGAGGATCCATCAGACCTGTGTAGAGTGTGCCTTGCAGGTGGTGGTGACCGACAGTAAAGAGACTTGGAGCCCGAGTACAGCGGCTCAGTGTTATCCGGTCGTGGTGTCGCTGAACAGTACGTGGACGCGTGTCTGTAATGATGGTGCGAAGGGAACGCTGGCTTGTCCAGCTCATCTAGATCCCTTGGTGACGACGCCCTTGAGTTGGAGTTGGCCCGTGGTTTCCTGGATGCCCACTCGTGGAGAAGGGCACTGGCGATCCCCCCACCAAGGCCTCCGACCCAACACACCCAATGACTGTCCCAACGTGATAATACGAAGGAAGGGCCCAGGGATCTGGCTGGGTTTAGGGATGGCATCTGAAATTATATAGAAGAATAATATGAATACGTTTCATTCGTTCGACTTGAAATGCCTAAAAATATTGTGAGATATTTTGTCCTACTAAGTTGCTCGTACTCTTTGTATGTGTCTACGATAGGCAATCTTGATAGTAGCAAGCATTTACCTGACGAATGTTTACGGCTTTTAAGCGAAAAAGCCCTCGACAGGGCAAAACGTGTCACATTAACAGGCAACAATGGAAGGAGCTTGTTGTCAGTACAAAATTCAAGAGCTACGTGATTGAACAATAGTCGAAGGCACAATGCCTAAAGAGACATGCGATTTACGCCCTTATGACTCTATTATTAAGTACCGTAATGAAATATGTCCTAGATGGGGAGATTTACGCAATTTTTTCACCTTTATTCGGAGCGGAAACTTTAAAAAAACTATCTCCATTGAAAGGGCCGCAATTACGGCGGTCACAATGCCTACCTGCGGCAGAGTGTATTCAAACCTCATTCCAGGTCGCAAGTTCCATATTTTTCCAAATAAAATCTTTAGAGTAAATTGCAGTTATTAACATCAATGCTAATAAAGTGCATGCACAGTTTTATATGTCGAACTTCGTGTTGCAATCATTTTAGAGTATAAGCAAAATAATTATAGAATCCGTTTCATTTAAGTATCAAGTAGGTATTTGATTGAGTATTAACGAATTTAATTTATCGATATTGACCTGTTTTCTTAGAATTGAAAATATAATAAAAAGATAACCCATTTCGGACCGACTCTTTACAATAGCTTACCTCCTGAGATAGAAATGGTAACCCATTTCGCCTGCGAAGTTTTTTTGGTAGTAATAACTTTGATTTGATGACTAACTTTGATGTAATAACTGCGTACGACGCTGGCCTGATATATACTTTTTATCTTTTTTAATATTATTTTTTGTTTCATGTAAGTGACATGTATGTTTTTAGTGAGAATAAACATCTTTAAATCTAAACATTTAAAGTTTTGGGGGTTTAAATGAGAAATAATTGAATCGGAAACCCACTTTACACGGGAAAACATGTTAGATGGTTTAAAAATTTAATATCTTTAAAATATTTAAAGAAAACACTTTTTACCGGATTGAAGTTATGTATTATTACAAACTTATAATTATTTTACATAATTAAAATTATTATTAATTTACCGACGTTTCGCGTGCTTTACACGCTTATCGCTTTTCTTTAAATGTGTAAAAGTTATGTTAATAAAAGACAATACTATCTTTAAAATAAACAAAGCTTTTTTGTCTTCAAATATAAGAATTTATCTAAGAAGGTAATTTATTAGTATCGTCCATTGTTATGTTGCAATATCGAAGAGTTTTGTTCGAGTATGTGTAAAAACATCTGCCCGTACAAAAAGCAGTATTGTGTGCCAATAAAAGGAAGTCTATTGAACATTCTTCAATGAAACGTCGCAGTAGTCTATTCAGACTAAATTTGAGTGTTGAGACCATTTTGTTTTTCTAACAAGGAAGTATCTATAGAATGATATACGCAAAGAATCTTTGAAAAATTAGATTAAAGTCTTACTTCTGTAATCGTGAGGCATGGGACTTTTGGGGACCTTCAGATCCCACAAAACCAAAATGATTTGTAATTCATCGGGAGTTCTGTTCAAGAAGTTTCATGTGTTTTGGTTGTGTCAAGTTTTACTGTTTTTTTTATTTGTCCAGGTTTTGATTACAAAATGGAATACAAAGTCGTGTTATTTGGCTCCTAATATTAAAGGGTATTAAGGGTAATACTAGTCAATTTCCAAATCCACCAATTATATTAGGCATAACTATAAAAAAAATATGATAAACGCGAAGTTCTCGTGTCACAATTTTCGTTCCCATAATCCTCCGAAACGGCTCGACCGATTTTGATGATTTTTTTATGCATTTTCAGTAAGTCTGAGAATCGGCTACTATCTATCTTTCAAACCCCTATGTGATAAGGGTGTCCACCCCAAAAAAAATGTTTTTATTTTTTAGAAATTTTTTTTGTTTTTATTTTTTATGATTCGAATAAAAAAAACATCTCTTTTTTTTTCAAAAAACAAATCCTGGATTTCCTAATCCAGTTCGAATAAGTTGACTTAAAGATGTACCTACTATTTCTATTCTATAAGGCTTTTTCACCGATTTTTTAAAATCCAATCACATAGACGCAGTTGGCAAAGCTTATCAATCACTTGCTTTATCTCGAGTTTATCAATAGATATTCAGTTCCTTTCACGATTCACAGCTGTCTTGTTTCAAATTACGGTGTCTGTACTGTGCTTTATATCAAGAATTAACTAACATCATTTGAAAGAGATTCCTTTATACATTGGTTTTAGGTATAAACCAACATTCATTAAAGTTACTGTGCGATGATTGTTGACACGAATTGTGGTGTAATTACGCAAGGATGTGAACAAGACTTTTAAACAAAATATATGTACTCACAGAGACAAAGCTTGCAGCACAATAAGCAGCTCCAAGTAACACAGGTGCAGAGCCAGTCCATCTTCGCTCCATGGCCGCGAAGTATGCAGCAGCCACCAAGCCTGACAGCAAGAGTTCAGCGCCAAGGCGCTCCCATGCCGCTCCACCGCCAGCTGGCAATGACGCTGATAAACCACCAGCGTAACCTGGCACGCTAACCCTGGAAAAAAGATATCAGCTATTAGCTTATTGCACATCCGCAAGATATCCGCGATATGTTTAGTAAAAAGTACCCTTAATGAAATTAAAATCGATTATAATGAAAATTACTTAATATTTATTCGGTAATAATTTTTATATTTCCTTTGATAAACTGGTTTGGGACAACCAAAAAGTTCTCCATGAATTGATTATGAAATTCTTAATTCTATGAATGCACAAAAAAGAATTTGATTAATTCAAGCATTTATAGAAGTCGATGTGATATGATTGCATTTTAATGAAAAATATTTTCAAATCACCGAAGCCTTGAAGGCTTTACATTCCTTTGACTTTATAACATGCCTAGTCTACCCAATTTGGCTCTTGGTGATTGCTTAAAAGAATTTCATAACTGTGCTATCTAAAAAGTTTTTGTTTTCAACCACAAAACCGCGCGAGCAAAATAATTAAAATATTCCCTTGAACTTTTAGTTATCTACTGTTATTTGTAAAACAGTACAAAAACAATACCTCACAAAACATGTTGATAATAATATACCTTTTAAATTCAGGCCAAGTGACAATGTATTCATGAATCGAATCTGGAGCGAAACCGTATAATAAATTAGATTACGTCCTTAGCGTTAATACGTGACCTTTTTAAGGCACTCACTGTTCATTTGTAACGTTACGCTTTATTAAACATGAAATTAAATTAATTTCGGCAAACCTTACCCCAGGTTTACTTACAACTTAAATTCCACAGGGAATGTATAGTTAAGTCTTGTTTTGACTTGTGTAAACACATCTAAATTTAAAAAAGTTACTACTGACGTCAGGGGCGGATCTACTTAAGGGCTTTTAGGGCTGCAGCCCAGGGCTCCGTGGATACAAAGGGCCCTAAGTCCCCACTGAAAACAATCGGCAATATTTTGATATTAAACAATAAACATGTCTTCTGTAGAAACGTGTAAAACATCTTAAAACTTACTGAACTACATACTTCAGTCAATATATATATTACAAAATTTAGGACACAATTTATATCATTAGTACGTTTTCTAATAACAACTTAATCTTATTTTTAACAAAAGTACACGTTTCTTTCTCACAACGTACAAATATGTTAGAAATGAGTAAAATTAAAACACTAAAACTTGTACAAGGTTAAAACATAAAAGTAAGTGTCCATTTTAAAAAGCTAATTCAATTCTTTATGCAAAGTGTCATTCACCGTTTGGCATTGTTGTTAACACGCGTGGAGTTTGATTTTACTTGGACTGTCTCCAAATAGTAAACGAAGTGCTTCGCAATTTCGTTCAGCACTCGTAAACCGTTTTAGGATTTACAACAAATTGATATGAGAAAGTTTCGACAGTTTACCTTTTGTTGGACACATACGGGAAGTTTATAGCAGATTATTTGTTTTCATATACCTAAGGAATGCTACCATTTAAGAACGATTTACATATTGACTAAATGGCGTTAATTTTAAATGACTCAGTACGAACGATGGTAAGACTACAAATTCAGTTGAATTATAAAATTTACATTTAATCCTCTTTTTATAATGTTTTTTTACCTTATTAAAAAGTTAAAAAGATACTAAAAAAAGTCCGGTTTAAAATACCGTTAAATATAAAAAATATATATTTTAGTATATAAAACATTAATTTATAAAAAAATGCCTGCCTAAATCAAGTGACTATGTTATCCATCATAACTTATAAAAAAATTTATAAACATTTTCGATTCTACGCATCGTATTATATATTTATATCTTAATATATATATTTCTTCTGTGCGTGTGTATGTGACTGAACTCCTCTCAAACGACTGGACCGATTTTGATGAAATTTTTTGTGTGTGTTCAAGGGGATCTGGGAATGGTTTAGATTCACAAATCAGCCCGGCAGATGGCACTGCAGTCGGTACTTTCATACTTTGCTTAATATCCTAATCGCTTTAAATATCATGCAGGACAACGTCTGTGGGGTCCACTAGTATATACATATATATTAATGTAACAGGATGCAAATGGGAAAAAGGCTGATGTTAAGTGATGAGCCCATGAACACTCGCATTGCCAGAAGGCTTGCAAGTGCGTTGCCGTCCTTTTAAGAATTGGTACGCTCTTTTCTTGAAGGACCCTAAGCCGAATTAGTTCGGAAATACTTCAGTGGGTAGCTGTTTCCCAATAGTGGTGGTGCGTGCAAAAACTGCCTTAAAAAACGCTCAATTGTGGAACGACGGACGTTGGAGGTAGAATTTCGTATTCTGCCTTGAAGTCATTGGACTTGGAATTCATCATTGGATGAAATTTATTTACTTTCTATTATAAAATAACTGATGAAAATATTTCTTTTACCAGATCTTTAAGATATAACATTAAGGGCAAGATTGAAAGTCGAAAAACTGTGCGTCAAAATCCATACCTTACCCTTACTAAACGTTAAAAGTCTGTAAATTTCATGACTTGTTGTCGGCGTACATCGAGTTGCAAGTAATTTATAAATATAATATATTGACTGACGTAATTTATTGTCTGCGGGTGAATAGATTTCCCTTATCTATAATCTGACCTGACCCTGCGATTCTGTAACTCGCTTCACACACTCTCAGCGCTGATTTTTGCTGTCAAATCGTTCGTTTCGGTGTCATGTTACAATTTGGTATTCTGATAAACAATAACCGCGACAAAAGCGCCGCTCAAATGAGATTGTTCACATTTGGAACTAAAATTTGTCACTGCTACACTTACGCTCCAAAATTGTTGATATTTGGTATTCTGATACATACCATTTGACATCTCATCTCATTTAAATGTAGATTCTTTACGTCAAATTAAAAGTTGCTCTTCCCTCGCTGAAATCGTGATTTACCAGTGAGGTAGCCATTTTTAGCGAAGTTAAAACTTGTTTTATGTGAAAATATTCTAACATAGGACAATCTATATGTATGTTGATTGTTGGGGTAAGTTTATAAAATAATATTTATAAATAATGTACACTGGATATGTAGCACTATAAATTTTTGTGAAACAAAATAAAGAATTTTTGAAATTGAATTGAATATTTATCAATGCAGCTATATTTTACGAAAAAAATTATATATATATAAGCATTAGGCTTCGTGAAATAGAACTTTGTTATTGTTACAGAAGGCCCGTTTCCACTTTAAAAGCTTAAACCTCTATTTCATGAAATAAATGATGTAAACCATTAAAAATACTTCATATAATATCTATAGATGGCGAAGAAATTGTAGGCACGAAACGACCAATTGGTTTCTCGGCGTTGGTTACTATCGCTTTTTTCCAATACCCAAGAAATTATATGGTATTGACGAAACCTTGAACATATGCTGCTGAGATGAACGAAGAGACTAGTAAATAGATATTCTAAGGTAAACATTTTGATTATTTTAGCATTAAAAATATCATTTTTATCATAGAACCAATTTTTCGATGCAGTCTTGATCATGTCTTGTCTCCAGCAGAGATAAGTCGAACAGAAAACGATAAATAAGTTAAGATAGGTAAATTTTGTAAAATATTTGTATTTTTCTACTATACTAAAATTATAAATCTAATAATTTCAGAGATCCAAATGTTCAAAATTCCTGGTAGAAAAATTACATTCTGCCTTTGAAGAAGACAAGGCCACTGGATATAGAAAGACACAATAGTGCAGATATTTTCAAATGATTGAATTTCGACTATACTTCAATTTATAATAAATGATAACACAGTACAATTTTGGTTCCTATATTTTTATAAATATTGATATAACATTAAGGTTTTGGATAAAAACATTATTCTGCTTTACACAAGTATGAAATACCATCATTACATACATGATGGTTTAAGTACTTAAGCTTTTTTAAATTTATAGTTCATAACTATTACTTTTTACAAACTAATTAGAAAATATAATATTAAAATAAATATATTTGTCTACAAAATAAAGTAGATGTTATTGATTAGCTCTATGTGAGGCTGGGTTTGAATTAGTTTTTATTATACTTAAGTTTGAGTTTGTATAACTGAAAGTTATTTTGTAGTGTGTTAAAAGTTTACTATAATCATTAAATTAAATGTGTAAGTTATTATATTGTTCTTTTATTAACCTATAAAGTAACATGGCTTATATATTTTTCATTTCGGTTACTACGTTTTCTGTAGGCAGTCATTAAATAATGGTAGATTTAATTAATCATTTTATTAATATAACAATATTATTAGATACAAAAAAATTATTATGAAGTACACAATTATCTTAAACACGGTAATACAATTTTTAAAATAGATTTGTGGTCTCGGTTTAATCTCTTCTTAACATTTCAATAATTGGTCATTTTCTTCCTCATTCTTGACAACTACCGCTGATGGCTGTAATACAATAGTTATCTGTTAAAATTGTAAATAGGAAGATATGGTAGGTCACTGTACTGACACAATAATATTGCGTAACAATTTAATTATAGTAAAGTTAAGGAAAATAATAAAAAAACTTACATAAAACACACAAAAACTTTATGGGATATCTTTGTATTTCTAAGTAAAGTATCTTAAAAACATGTTTGATTATATTATAACTAAGCCAAAAATTATTTAAAGTTTTATGGTAACAAGGCTTAGTAATTTCACACACAGTATTTGATTCAGTACTATGAATAAAAAAATCTTGAGCAAACCTATATTTAGACTCAGAAATCCAAATCTAAGTATGTTCCTACTTTAAAAACAATTATTTATTAATGAAACAAATCCAAGACCCATGAAGGGTATGTTTAGTGCTAAATTGTAGTGCTGACTACAATATAATAACAACTAAAATTGAATAACTATCTTTAGATTGCTTCTATGTATATTAAATAAGTTATGGCAATGTCATTTCCAACATTTAAAATTAACGTTGATCACTTGAAATGGTATAAATTTGAGCAATTGAAAGCTTATATATTTGATCCAACATACCTAACATGATTATTTATACTTGTGTTCTGAAATCTGAACAATTAAATTAAATTCAACTTGATCAATTAAAATTAATACTTCTTATATTTCATGAATGGAATTTGAAGTTAGAAAACCTAAAAATATTTTTTATATTTAACATTTTTAACCAATAATTTAATTATTCTTTACAATGTCGCTTCGATTTAACCTATTACATTTGACTTCAAATTTTCCATCAAACAAACAAACTTTGTTAACTATTTTTCTAGACACTGCTTATTCCTATTTATTTACTATGATAGTTATTATGTTTCTCAAATAGTTTTAATAGAATTCAGTTTTTAAGAGTGTTAGTAAAAACATAGGTAATATTGTTGTTGTGTGTTTGACCTCTGAATCACTTAAAAGGTTGCAATAGTAGTTTCGTGGCATCTAAAAAGTACCAACACTTGCACTTACACAAATGAATAAATATATAAACACAAATTTTTACTTTTAATTTATAATTACTCAACAAAATATTATATGAAAACATTGGTATTCACCTTTAGGAATATTATGAAAATTTAAGATACCTATCCATCCTGTTTAGTTTGAATCCTTAGACCATTCTACCATCTTTTGTTAAGATAATATTCTTAAATTTTGTACAATATATCCAGATGTTAGGTATCCCTTGTTTCGTGCTGAAACATAATTAATATTTTTAAGTTTCTGTCGCTCATATACACCACGGCTGGTCGAAGTATAAACTCTTAATTGGAAGTTATAAACAAAATACGTAACTTACGATTTACTAATAAATAAACTTACTACTCACCTTTAAGCGACCCCATTGCCAGATGGGTTTTAATAATTTTCCTCGCTATGCTTTGGTTAACCATATTTCTATATTAATCTTGCTAATTATTTTCCATCCGATAAATAATTTTTGAGATATTTTCACAGTTTATCTTTTTTTTAATATTCTTCATTTTATTTCAAACGTCGACCATTTTGTTTTATTAAAAATATTTTGTTTATATATGATAAAAATTTTGACAATTAACTCTTTTTATAAATAAAATGAGTCAATTGTCACGATATTAATAGACAACAACTCACTAGGTTCACTCCCTCCACTTATCAAGACGTAATGTAAAATTTCTTAACAGAATACCATGAGATTCCAAAAATTACGTGAGTGACGAAGGGAGCGCCGTTAGTGCGTAGTGGACTCACGGATTAACAGTGAGTTACAGAATCGCAGGGCTGACCCTGTTCTTGAGTCATGAAGATCTTGCCTAATAATAAACACATTGGGCTACGCAGATGACAGGCGTAATATCTGTTTTGATGTTCTATTATGATACATGTTTGGGATACATAATATATCTATGGTTGTAATTTTGCGATTTTATGTTCCTATAACGAGACAAACATTTCGGTTTCGTTTACTTTAAAGGCAAGTTAGGAGCTCTACTTGTCTTTGGCGGCCACGAAGGATAATATAC